AATAAAGTGACACTGCTTGCTTGTAAAGATTCATTTATTTATATATCTACTATGAATCTATATTTAAAGTATTACCTATCTGTATGCAATTTAAATTTTTCAAATAGTTTATATTTATATATTATTTTTATAATTTTTCCATTATTTTTTTTTAAATTAGATTTTGAAATTGAATCAAGAATTTGATTTATATAAATTTTATTCATAGGATTTTTCTCGGCTCGATCAAGGAAGCCATATCCCACCACAACAAACAAAGTATCTCGTGTTAGGGCATTTGTTCAAATACATGAACTGAGAACCGGTATAGGAGAACATTTGTGCCCCTTCTTTATCTCCCCTCTCTCTATCTCTCTCTCTATCTCTCGTCCGATATATATATATATATATATATATATATATACAAAAAATATATATATAAAAAAAGGTTGAGACAAAATTGTTTATTTTTGTAGTGATGTTATAATTTTTAATAAATACTATATATATACATATATATATATATACATACATACATTCATATATATATATATATATATATATATACAAAAAATATATATATATATACATATATATATATATATATATATATATATATATATATATATATATATATATATATATACATATATATATATATATATATATATATATATATATATATATATATATATATATATATATATATATATATAAAGTTAACATTGACGTCAACATTCAATGGTGACAGGAAACCACTTTTTCATGCTAGGCGCAATCGTCAGGCCTGACAATTCCGCCTAATGAAACAACCTGTCGCCCCTGAATTTTGACGGCAATGTTCACTTTATATTTACATACGCTCTATCTCTGATATTGAGCAATTTATCCCATAAATATAGAACGCCTTAAAACTATATTTATTCATATATATATATATATATATATATATATATATATATATATATATATATATATATTTATTTGTGTGCGTGCGTGTGTACATACTTGTTTATATTGTATATTATATATATCGTGTGTTCCTAAATTCACACAGTTTTAATCTGATTGGATTTTATTTATTTCATCTGATTGGTCAGATTTGAGCAATCAGATAATTTTTGCGAGTTATAAATGTAATCTAATTTTGAATGTTATTTTTTGAATGTTTCAATTTTTTTTTAAATTTTAGGTAATGTACTTGCACACACGCATCGGATTTTATACAGCTATACTATGCAAATGCGATATAACATGAGGTAGCTATGAGAAGAAAGACTTATTCTCCCATATGTATTTCCCCCATTACGGGCTTTATTATATGCGTGATGTAATAACGCCGTAATTCACGGACAGGACAGAATGGCTGAAAAGAAAAGAAATGACAAACACAAATTATATATATATATATATATATATATATATATATATATATATATATATATATATATATATTTATATAAAGGATGGTCCTGCACGAAACCTTCACCTCTATAATCAAATCTCATCTGCTGTTGTAGGGCTGTCGGTACGTCGAATTTGACAGGGAGAGTCAGATATATATATATAATATATATATATATATATATATATATATATATATATAATATATATAATATAATATATATATATATATATATATATATATATATATATATATATATATATATATATATAGTTGTGTGTGGGGGGAAAACAAATATTTGTACACATACAAAATTTTAATTTATTTTATTTCCAACTAATGAATAAACATATTTTTCATATAATTAACTGTACACAGATTCATAATAAAAAAGTATGCATAGAAAACAGAAAATAATTTGATTTAATAGAAATAAATCCTATTTATCCATTTTAATGAAAGTATTCATACAATACAAAAAAAAATACATAATCTTCATCTAATATATTGTAAAATAGCCATTATTCACTTCTACAATAACAATAACCAACATCTTGTGGTTCTTACTTACTGATTTGCACATTTTAGTTGGTATTTTGTTCCATCCTTCTTCGCATATGGTCTTCAGATCCGGGATGTTTGTTGGCGCTCTCGATTGGATTTGAATTTTCAAAGAACGCCACAGATTCTTGATTGGGTTTAAATCTGGGGACTGACTTTGCTATTTCAGGATATTTACATTATCTTTAGCAAGTCATTTCTTCGTAGATTTCACAGTGTGCTTAGGATCATTATCTTGTTGAAAGATCCAATCAGGAGGAACTTTAAGATTTTCAACCGAAATCATTAAATTTGCTTCCCAAATATTTTGATATCCTGCGGCATTTATTCTACTCTCTATTAATGATATATTGCCAG